GACTAATCTTGATAAGTTTATGGAGGGGATGGTATGATGAGATAGCTTAATTTTAGCAATTAATTGATCCTTGACTATTCGCAGTAAATATGTCCTATGACTTGTGATGGGATGTTAGATGGGGTGGGATCTGAGTTACTACAGAGAATTCTTTCCTGGGTATCTGGCTGGTGAGTCTTCCCACGTACTCAGAGTTTAGCTGATCGCCATATTTGGGGTTGGGAAGGAATTTTCCTCCAGGGCAGATTGGCAGAGGCCCTGGGGGCTTTTCGCCTTCCTCTGCAGCGTGGGGCATGGGTCACTTGCTGGAGGATTCTCTGCACCTTGAAGTCTTTAAACCATGATTTGAGGACTTCAATGGCTCAGACATCGGTTAGGGGTTTGTTGCGGAGTGCGTGGGTGAGATTCTGTGGCCTGCATTGTGCAAGAGGTCACACTAGATGATCATATTGGTCCCTTCTGACCTTAAAGTCTATGACTCTAAAATACATTCGTGTTTCAAACAAAACCTGCTGGTTGGTGCCTAAACTAAAGAGCCCTCATGTTCCTTTAAATAAAAGCTCCAGGCGCAGTGCAGTTAATGCATCGTTGAGGGAATGCAAAAAGCTGCTCTGAAAATACAGAAGTTACCTTTTGCCCCTAGCATTTCCCATCGTCCCTGTTCGCAGGCAGTAGTGGAATGGAAAGAAATCAGCACAGAGTGTCAGTAATTCCCATCCCCATCCCCCAAAACCCCACCTACTCGCCCCCAGTCACGGCAGCATCTCTCCCAGGCTTTGCATTTTTATAGACACAAGCTTCTCCCACGGGCTGTGTAACAGATACAACCTTCAAGACCCATTAAGCCAGTGTTCCCGCTACCATTCAACCATGCCATTTATTTTTATATTGTGCCCGTCAGTACCCAGCATCCCAAAGCACTTCAGAGTGAGCTAAGCCAACCCATACGCTACAAAACCAGGGACTGTTTAAGAGAAGATTTAGCACTCTTAACTCCCACTGAAGCCAGCAGGATCGAGGATCCACTCAGCACCTCACCGGATTGGACCCAAGCGAATTGATTCTGCGTCTCCAGGGAAGGAGAGAAAGAACAAGTCAAAAGAGTGAATTCCCCGGGAGGGGAGAGCCCATTACTGGAGGGCTGGAGTGAGCTGGCAGGAGGGAGGCTAGGGGCAGGGAGGTGGGATTGAGAGCAGAGGTGCAGAATAAACTGGGGAGGGAAGGAGATGGCGACAGGGTGGCTCAATAAATGCTCATGGATGAATACCCACCTTAAGGCTGGGAGATCACCGACGCCCACCACCTCTGTGCTTCTCTCACATTTTCTGCCTGGCTTCCTTCTTTCCCACTCTGTTGAGAGCAAACCCCACCAGACCCTCTGGCAGGGACTGGAGTGCTGAGGCGGGGTGCGAACACAAAGCTGCTCTGACCTCCTGGGGAGCACAAGGGTAAGGACCCAGCTGTGCTTGGCAGCTCTTGGGAAACACCCCAAGGATGCTGGGTAATGGGCAGATCAGCAAAGGAAATGCTGGCTTCTGTGATGTGAGTCCTGATCCTACCAACACTCAGGCAAGTGTGTAGCTTTACTCATCTGAGTAAGCCTATTGACCTTAACAAGACTACTTGCATGAGTAAAGCCAAGCCGGCGAATAAGCAATTGCAGGATCAGGAGCTATCTCACCTTTCCCCATGCACCAGCTGCATCTGCACTGTCTTTCCCCAAAGAGCCATCCCGCGGGTGCGCTGGGTGGCTACCCGCCGATGGATGTGGCTGGCACACTGGTAACGTATCTCTGCGCTGGGCTCAGACTCTGTGCAGCCTCGCTGTCCTGCAGTGACTAGGAAACCCCATTCCTCCCTCCTCCGCAGCTGACAAATGGCTCCTCCAAAGCACTTGCGCTGCCAGGCTGCAGAATCCCCCAGCCTCCTAATCAACCATTTCAAGGCTTGCGAGCACTGGCAGTTGGGATGCGATTAGGCCTTGTACAGGAGCCTGTGTGTTGCAGTAACAGCCCCCAGATGGCTGAGCAGGTATTTTGTGTAATTGGCCTCCTGCTGGGAAAATGGCCGTTCCGCTGACCTCCAAAGAATCTCTTACAAGACTCTGATAGAGACGGAGCAGCAGAGCTATCCACGATGCAGGACTGAGAGTCCAGCCCGGGCGTTCCTCGCTGGGGGAGCAGTCTGATCTCTCTCTGACTGACTGACTGACACAGACACACACACACACACGCAAGAGAGCATGGACTTCTTCATTCAGTTTTTCTTCAGACATTTAAAACTGGGCTAACATGGAGTCCTGGAAAACAGACTGAGCCCACCAGTATGAGGTCAAGGGGATGGATAAGATGGGACCTGATGTGCCTTCACTATCTCTACAGGGCAAAGCCCCGGTGGAGGACAACCCTGCACCGGCCCCACAGAGGGAAGGGCAAAGTGGAGCCTGACCAGGTTGCTCCAGCTCTGCATTGGCTTCCTCTCTTCTCCCAGATACAGTTCAAGCATCTCAGCCTCACCTGGACAGCATTCCCCAGCCCTCCCTGGACCCAGAACCTTGCCAAGCTGCCAGGAGAGAAATGGCTGAGACGGGCGCGGGACTTAGGGCTCACCATGGGGAATGGAGGGCAGGAGTCAAGGCTCGCTAGCTGTCTGTGAGGTGGGATTTAAGGCTTGCTAGGCGTGTGCAGCATTTAGGGCTCAGTGGCAGACAGGTGGAGGACAGGATGGAATTTGGGAGAGCTCCCCAGGACGGAAACAGTGATGTGAAGGAGTCAGTGACCCTTTGAGAATCTGAAAAAGGCTCTCTCTAGAGCCCATTTGTAGCTCGCATTCACAGCCACGTCTGTGTGGAGTGCTCTCACACACACACGACCGTGGCATCTCACAAGTTCAGCTGCCCTATGCTGCTTCCTCCCACCCCACATCTGCCCCTCACCTGAACTCATACACCTCCGTGTGCGACTTCAAGCCATTTTACAGCTGTGAGCAGGCTCTGCTCCAAGCCCAGCCTCAGCCCAGCACACGTACACTGGGTAAGTGTCCCCTCCCCTTTCCCGTTAAGTTAGACGACAACAGAATGTAGATCTTAGCCTGAGTTTTCTCCCATGAACAGTTTCTTCCTAGGAGTTTCTCTGCAGACCCCTCGGTACCAGCCTCCAGTCACCTCTCTACCAGGAAATGGTTCAGACATTTTATACCGCTGGGTCGGGTCCCAGGCTGTCAGCAGAAAAGGCATAGCTGCCCCGCTGCCCACCAGCCTGGGCCCATCCAGGGAAGGGGGCAGCTGTCCTGCTGCCAACCAGCCGGGGCAGAACATAGCTGATAGTTTAAGTAGCAGATCCATCTGGGTGGAGAGCATCTCCTCTCCCCCAGACACACTACATACATCATGGGCAAAGAATCCCCTTTGCCGAGCTCTCTTTCCCAAACCCAAACTCACAAGTGCACAGAGAGAGAGAGAGAGAGACAGACACTGTGATGTTCTCCAGGCCCAGCCTAACACCCCCCAGTGAGACCTGCGAGGGGGAGCGGAGGAAGGAAAGGCTGTCTCAAGCAAACAGCAGCTTTTCAATAACTTCTAAATGTCACTTGTGCAGCTGAAGGATGGGAGAGCAGGGAGCGCGGCTCACATCGGGCTGCAAACGAGTTTCATGGTGCGAGTGACGGAAAACAAATTTTGAAAGGATTAAATGAGAAAGCAAGGGAGGAGAGGCCCCTTTCATGCAGATGAGGAAAGGTCGGTACAGAGCCCAGCAGGTCAGCAGCGGAACCGTAGCAGTAGCATTCCTTAGAGGTGAATGGAGGATTGATACTTTAGATCTGTCTGTTCGCAGCATCAGCGCTCTCCGCACACAGAGCTTCCCGGAGGGACAATGTGGCCTGGCTGTGAAAGCCACTCTCCTCCTCATCCCATCCAGGGGCAGAGCAGGCCAGCCAAGAGGGGGTGCATCGGCAGAGGCGTTTGTGGGGGATATTGGGACTGCTGGAGGTCTAGACAGAGGGTGCACTGGCAGAAGAATAGGGGATGGGCCTGAAATGCATCGTCAGAGCTGGGGAAGAGGAGCTGGAATAGCAGGGGAAGAGGGTCAGCATTGAGGGGCATTGGCAGAGCGCTGTGTGAGAGCTCAGGAATGGAAAAGCAAAGGGGCTGGAGGGCAGGAGTGAGGGGTGTTGGTAGAGGTGTGTGTAAGAGCTCAGGACTGGAGTAGTAGCGGGGGCTGCAGGTCAGGGTTGACAGCTATCGGCAGAGCTGTGTGTGGAAGCCCAGGGTTGATGGGCAGCAGCCAAACAGGCTGGGAAAGTGTGACTGGACATGTGTGAGCGCGTGTGAGTGAGTGCAATGCTGCATGCAATAAGGAATTAACTCAATTCCACTTGTAAAGTGGGATCATTCCGCGTAAGGGGAAATCAAGTGCAAACAGGGAAGGAGGGAAGCAGGAGCAGAGTCTCCAACTCCAGCCCAGCTGGCTCCAGCCCAGGCTACTTTCTTTGGCTTTCATAAGCAAATTTCCTTGGAAATTCTCATAAAGCATGGGAGGGTCCCCCCTGGGGTCGGTTTGGCTCCACAGCAGAGGAGGGAGGGGTGTTGGTTCTGCATGGAACAATTCCACCAAGCAATCTCTCCTTGCAGCTGGGAGGGGAAAGAGACAGGGAAAGGAAAAGACAGAGACTGAGGGGGAGAGGGGGAGAGAGACAGAGCGCGAGGAGCTGGAGAATCTCTCCCAAGGCCCCATGGGCACCATGAACCTACATTTTCCACCTGCCGATCAAGCATGAAAGAGACAAAAACCAGCCAGGGAACAAGCAAGGCAGCTGGGGTGACCTTTAATCCGTGGAGTTTGTGGGGCAGGCGGAGAGGAACGACCTGGAAGCGAAACACATTCTGTCTGGAGAAGTGCCAGGGGAGGTGTCACAGACACTCTGCAGGCAGGAATGGTGTTCACACACACCCTGCGATGGAAGAGCAGCCCAGGCCCGGCAGGGCAGGAGCGTGGACTCACCGAGGTGTTCTGGCACTGGATGCTGGTGCTGTTGAAGCGCAGAGCTGTGACGCGGGTGGCGCTGCCGGGGATGTGGAAGATGCATTCGTAGTTGCGCTGGCCGGACTGTGGCTGTGGCAGGTTCTTGGCTGTCAGAGTGATGGGCTTCACCACGCCCACAGGGATGTAGATCTGGGTGGAGGGCAGAATCTGTGGGCAGTCCTGCAGGAGGAACAAACAGCAGGCCATGAACTAGTGAGACAAGGCATAGTAACCCCCCGACCTGGGAATGCTGGTCACCGCCAGCACCGAGATACTCCAGACTCTACTGAGAAAACACCCATACTGATGGGCCAGGAAAATACCATGAGAGATGGTTGTGAGTGCAGGAATTCACGGCTGCTTTGACCAAGGCTTTGCATACTCGGCAGCATGCAGGACCTACCTTCTGCAGCACGGCCCCCTGGTTTCCACTGCAGCCCACTGCGGCAGGCTGGGAATTCGGCAGCAGCTTTGGGCTAACACAGAAATGGGACAATGTCAATGTCCTCATGTCACTCTGTCCAATGTTGAATCCGTTTCCCACGGCCCCAACATTTGCCATTTTTAATGAGCAGTAGGATACAGCTGTGCAAAAATAAGGCCCAACTGTGTTACAGACTGTTGGGCCGGCAGGGAGACTGTGGGAGGCAGGTTGGGGTTGTGGGATGAGCTTGTTAGCTGCATGTTTCTGGTAAAACGATCAGCAGTGAAGTAGGCTTTGACATGTTCGTTTTCATCATTAGGTTTCAGAGTTAACACACTGAGGTGCACTTTCTCGGGTTACCCTTCTCAGAGCTACTGTTTCAGCTATCACTGCATCAGTTTCCCTAAGTTCACATTTGGAAAGATTTTGAACCACCATTGAGGGTTAGGAAAGCTGGGTTTCTGGAACACATTTCTGTGGCAAGGGACGGATTCTGCAGCAAATTTTGCAAGAGGGACAGGCTTCCCCCTCACCCGCTTTCCTCCCACACCCCCAGCGCCTGTCCACGACCTGTCCAACCAAGAAAAAGAGGAGACCGGTTTTAGAGACCATCAAGGACACCCCCCACTCAGCCAGAGGGGGCACTGCTCAGCGGTACCAGGCCACGTTACCCAGCACGCAGTCACTGCCATGCACCACTCAGCTCTGTCACACACTGTACAGATCCCACCCTCCTCACACTTGTGAGTCTGCCGGGCACCTGTTCTCACTCCTGTGCAACCCTCTCTCTAGGGCAGCGCCAGGTCCACGTGTTGTCTCTCCCACAGACACTGCTGGGCCCAGCCAACTCAGGCTAGCAGCCTGGAGGGAAACAGACGACAAACCAGCTCGCACTGAGCCCCCGCCCTACCCGCTAATGCCGGGCTTCCCGTGGAGCATTCCAGCTGGGCATGGGCAACTAGAGCCAGCAAAGGACAAGTGAGCCCCAGGCCAGCATGTAGGCTCCGGGAAAGAAGCTGCTCTTCACTGAAGGCTGCCGGTCTATTTAGAAAACGGAGAAGGGAAACTGAGACTAAACACTGGCTGGAGCCAGGCACACAGCAATCCAGGCAGCCAGGCAAAGTTACCCCCACCCTCACCGCCTTGCCAGTGCATCTCCCTCCTGACCCACAGCCCCCCTGGCTATTCCAGTCTTGGGCCCCACACAGCTCTGCCACTGCACCTCCCTCCTGACTTACAGGCCCCCTATTTCAGCCATGGGCAATCTTGCTGAACTCCAAGCAAGAATCAAGTCTAAAATAAGTACCATAACCCATGAGGATGGAGAGTTGAGCATGCTACAACTTGTGGGCCCGACACTAACCCATCTGTGACAGCCCGAGTGAAGCTCCGTAGCTTGCCAAGAACAGAGCCCTGATATTCCAGGAGAAGGAAAATCCTGCCTTGAACATTCCCCATGAATCCTAAGCTGCAGAAAGCCCAGCTGGCCCATGAGGCCCTACAAATAAACAACAGAGCCAACTCCGGCTCTCCCAGCAGGTCTGACCTAGAAATCCAGCGCAGCCCTTGCAAAGGAGAAGCAGAGCATTCAGTTGTGGGATCTGCATAAAGCCACTTCCAGCCAAGAGGGACTTAGCAGAGTGCCCACCAGCTCTGCCTGGCAGAGCAGCCACGTGCAGACCCCATGGAGATCGGCAACACTAGTGGGCGGCTCCACTGATTGGTGGCAACATCCACTCAGCAGATCAACCCAGTCCCAGAAAGGAGGGTGTCATGCACGATGGATGGCTCACAGCTGCACCGGAAGCTGAACTTATAGCTGAGCAAACTGGGAGCTCGGAGGAACAGCAACTAGCACTTGAGCCAGAGCCTCATCTTGCCAGTCTTCTGCAGCAGCTCCAGGGAGAAGCGGTCTGGGGTCGCACTAATGCAAAAGTGAACTTTTCGCAGCATTCAGTTTCAACACTCAGGCTGCTCTCTGGGGATCCCCCAGGCCTGTCTGCAAAGCACAGGAGAGCGGGCAGAGAGCAAAAATAAACGGGTCTGGGCAGAACAACAGCTCGGTATTCCCGAAGGGCCTCGCTTCGGCAACAATAGCCTGATGCAATCCCCAGGCCAGCCTTGCAGGGCCCGGCGGGGGACAGCTACTCTTAGCGGCACTGGCTTTAAATAGGGGAGAGAGAATAACATGTTTTGAAACGAATACCGGTCCAAGAACAGAAACTGCACTTTGTTCCGGGATCTGCAGCAGCTTCTCCTGGCCGCCCTGATGGGAGCAGGGCGGGTCGGCCTATTCCCCAGCTGCAGCCTTCACAGCTCTCACCTGACACCGTGATGCTAATTCCAATAAGTGGGGCTGGAACCAGAGGCAGGAATAGCAATGACTGAGGTGCCATTCCACTGAGGAAAGCTATTCCCAGCACCACTGCCACTGCACATCTCACCTGAGCACCGAGAAACACTTTACAGACATCCTTAACCACCACAAACCCCTGCACCCCCAGGTCAGCAGAGAACCAGCACCATTTGAGAAGAACCAGACCAACTTGCCATGTGGTCCATCTCCCTGAGGCCAGTGCAGGCTTGGGCCCTGCAGCACACTTCCTAGGGCACTGTCCCACCTGCTTTCCAGAGCCCCAAGCAACGGGGCTCCTATCGCCTCTCTTGGGAGGTGATTGCACAGCCTGATCCTGGTCGCCACTAACAGGTCTGATCATCTCCCTTTTGCAGGTGGGGAAAGTGAGGCGTAGAGAAGGAAAGTGACTTGTGCAATGATAGAATCCAGGAGTACTGACTTGCAGAGATCCATGCTCTAGATCTCGCTCCCCGGTGACAGTGGAGGGGCTCATTTAGGGCTCTGGTTTAGAGCCCAGACACGTCATATTTTACTTACAATGCTGTAGATCCTCTCCAGGCCACCAGGAGACAGACACCTGGCCCTGGGTCGGGGACCTGCAATAACATCTCGGCTCTGCCAATAATCCCGATGCCCTGGCAATGCCCCCACTCTGGATATACCTGTCCCTCCGGCGGGAACCTCCAGGGGATGCCCAGCTCCATACATTCGCCCAGGAGCGCTCTGAAATCTGCCAGCACTGGATCACAGGATGGAATCAGGATTCAGAGAGCAGCAGCCGGGTCTGAAACCCCACAACCTCCTGGCTGGTGCTGGCTCCCATCAGCCATTTGCTCAGGATGTGATGTGAGCTTCTGACGGGGTTTTAGTGCTCTGTACAATCCTCCTGCAGTTCAGGGAGGTGGGTGGCACAGCCTCCCTGGCCGGGAATCCACACACCCTCAGGGGCTTCGTTTCTCCTCTTAAACAAGACCCGAAACCCCTCCATTTCCTTGCCTTCAAGGCCCTGGGTAACTGCTCACCCACCCTGCTCCCATCTCCCCCAAGTCAGCGGGGACTGCCTATGTCTGCTTCTGCAACAGCCACCAGTGCAACTTCTCCCTAGGCATGGAATGCTCTGCTCTCCCTGAGATGGTCGACAAGCCCACTGCCCTTAGACCTAGCGCCCTCCTGAAGACCCTCTCCCACCTCCACCAGCAATTCTCTGACTGACCCTGAAACAATTGGCTTGTGCTCCCTGAAGCCTCTGTTGAGTAACTGTGAGAGCCGATTGCTATAGCTCCCTACCCTGCTAGCTGTTCTGTTACCCCACCTTGCTCAGGCATGCCTGGGTGCAACAGAGAATGGGCCCCACAGCGCACACAAACAGAGATAATGCTCACGCTCTCTAACATGAACTAATTCTTCCTTACGTGCACATGTGTGCACTCGCTCTCTCTTACACACACACACACACACACACACACACAGTTAATGCTCTCACACACACACACACTCTCTCTCTCTCTCCCATTTTGCTGAAGGAGCCGAATCCACCAGCTACGTCACATATTCTGCATCTGCCGGGAGATTTGTCTCATCCAGCAAAAAATCTCACCCTGCTCCAAAACAGGAAACACCTGGTGCTGGGAGCCCTTTCCAGTGAGCCGCAGGCCCTGCCACTCCAGGCCAAAGCAAGTGATGAGGTTTCCTCGGGGGGGACTGGCTGTGACTCTACCCAGCCCTCCCCTTGTGTGGTGGCCAGGGGATTTTAACAACTCCTTCCTCAGCAACTTTCAAGCATCAATTCAAAGGACTGATGAAACTTCCTGTGCAGTCAGTTAACTCCTGCCATGCTGGGCAGGAAGACTCCATACGGCCCAAAAAGCTCTCCACCCAGCTCGAAGGCCTACACCGCATTCCCCTCCAGCTCCCCCTTCCAGACTCCACTACCTAGGAGCAGGGCACGTGGAGAGTTAGGTTGGTCGAAAATTTTCCATTTTTCTCCAAGGGTTTTCAACTAACCGAAATACTTGGTGCCCATGTCTGCTGCCCTCAAAAACTGGAGACCTTTAATTAAAAACAAACCAACCCTAAAATGTTAAATTTTCACTTTTTCAATGAAAATTCATAATTTTCCACAGAACTCCCCCGCCCCTGTTTCCCAAACAGCTCCATGGAGTTGCAGCACCCCACAGATATTCCCCCACACGGTCCAGATGGGTCCCAGCCACTGAGACGAGAGTGGATGGCAACCCTGGCTGGAACCTCCCAAACTCTAGGGGCAGTGCCTGGGGGCCAGGGGGTGCAGCAATTGGCTACGAGGCAGAACCTGTTCCAGCTGCCTGGCTGCACCCCCGCCCTGCCTCCTACGCCGGGCCTCGCTCCTCTCCATCTGTATCTTGCCATCTCTGGGCCATT